ATATATCTTCTGGTCTAAATGGCACTTTTTTTGTTTTTTGATTTATGATGTATTGTTAGTGTTATTGGGCTGTATTTTTTTTTTGAGGGGGAGGGGCGTCTAAAATATTCAAAAGCCTTTGGTGTTGACGGAATTCAATCAAAAAGTGGTAAAGAAACTACCAGTTTATCTATGCCTACCACTGAAGCTCCTTTTCAGATAGTTACTGGACAAAGATGTAGTTTCCCTATGTTCTTCCATGAAGATATATTTGTATCTTCATATTTTTTACTATAAAGTGAATAGTAGCAAATTCTAGTATGTAATTGTCCATTACGTCTACTATGTATGTAGGATGGTCCATATCGCTACACGAAGTACCGTCTAAACAGGAGGAGGGGTTGCAAGCTTATGGCTTTAGCTCCATCATTTCTGTTTCCCTACACTGCATTCCTTCTCGTTTATGGGATAAAGTGGACCGTTCGAGTTTGTTTTTTTGTGATATATACAAGAGTTGTTACATTCTTGTAGAGCCACTAGTACGCGTAGCGTTTCGGGCAGGTCCCTGGAATACGATCCCCGCCGCGAAGAATCGTTGTTACAACCAAGTACACATTTTACTGTTGAGTTAAACAGAGGCTACAGTTAAGGATTTGCGGCCAGTAAATCCTCCCCGGCCAGGATACGAACCCATGACAAAGCGCTCGCGGAACGCCAGGCGAGTGTCTTACCACTGCACCACGGTGACTGGTAAAGAATTGGTCTGCGATTTATCTTCTTGACCTATGGGAGCGTTGTGTAATGGTCTCGTTACAGTTAGCGTTCTCCTGTAGCGCACACACCTCGCCACCCAACACTAACTACCATGGAGAGAGACTATTGGCATGAATACCAACCATGGGGAGGAACCCATGATGGGACAGCACTGAAGGATCGTGGGAGGGGAAGGTACCCCTTTAAAAGGAAGGGGGATACCTTTCTTTAAAGACAGCAGACGGAGCCAGTCTGCAGACGGAGCCAGCCTGCAGACAAAGCCCGTCTACAGACAGAGCCAGTCTGCACAAGTCAAGCCTGGCCTCAGGCCGGGCTTGGGGAGTAGAAGAACTCTCAGAACCCCATCAAGCAGGAAGGAGTGTAGAGGCATCTGTCTCCTTCCCAACTGGTAACGTCAGGCCTCCCCGTAGATAGGGCAGCAGATAGGTGCCTCTGGACTCCTTCCTTTTAAGGGGTGTTGGTAGGGGCTCAGTCGGTAGAGCGGCTGGCTACTGTCTATGCGGTCGGCGGTTCGAGGCACCAACAAGTGTCCAGGTGAAGGAAGTACCGCCCGCGCCACACTACTCACCCGATACACACATTCATCACCCTCGCAACATGAGCAGGGCCTCCCACACACCTGAAAGGTAAACAAAAGATATGACTTAGCAAGGGCCACACCCGTTGGTAAGATGACAATTACAAGCAGTATTATATAATGACAAAATATTTAAACAAATCAGTATGTTAGGTGCCTCTATAACCGCCAAGGGGGGTATGGTAACGGTTGGGGGTAATTTGGGGGGGAGATGGGGCAAGGGGGGTGGGGTTTGGAGAAGGAAAGGGAGGGGGAGGGGGTAACATATTTCCCCTGCGTTCAAGAAGAAAATAAATATGCAATAAAGGCGTCCCACCGCCATAAACCGTCTATCGGTGCTTTCTCCTTCCCTTCCTCCCCGCCTCTTTGCCCTCCCTCCATGGCTCTTCCCCTCCCACCCCGTCTCTTTCCCTACCACCCCGTCTCTTTCCCCTCCCTCCCCGTCTCACTGGGACCAGCTTCACCCCTCACCTCTGACCGACTTTCTCCAAAAAACTGATTCATTCGCGTCTCGGCCCGCACTCAGCCCATCTGCCTAACTCCTGAATCAAACCTAATCATTCCTGAAGATTTGTCTAATTGTGGAAGACGTTTGGGGGGGGGGGGTTAAACTCCAGCAGACGGTCATAAGTAACAGAATTCACACAACGTTCACAAAACACATTTTGTTTGAGGGGAGTCTACCTGGAGAGGGTTTTGGAAGTTCTTCAACTTCCCGAACCCGGCGTAAGGCCAGGCTCGACTTGTGATAACTTGGTCCACCAGGCTGTTGCTTGTAGCGGCCCGTAGGCCCAACATGTCCACCACAACATATCTTTTTGTCTAACTAGGAATGTACGGCAACGCCGTAAGTTATTAAGGTGTTGCAGTGTTTTTTTCCAACCCGTCTTGTTTGAAAGAGCTTGGTCGATTCAATTCAAAGTGCGCCGCATTTGGCGAGAGGACGGACTGGGTAAGGAGCCTTTGTCGCCTGAGGCGCACACACACCAGGTAACATCAGTGACATGTGCAAAGTTACACCAAGTACTGCTATCATAAATATGATCCAGCAGTCATTCAGAACGCTGTAACGTAGCAAGAATAGGGAAAGTACAAAAAGCTCTATTGGCTCCTTGCAATGCAGTTCACATTTATATCCAATCACACCTGCTAATATATGTGTGTGTGTGTGTGTGTGTGTGTGTGTGTGTGTGTGTGTGTGTGTGTGTGTGTGTGTGTGTGTGTGTGTGTGTGTGTGCGCGTGTGCGTGTGTGTGTGTGTGTGCGTGTGTGTGTGTGTGTGTGTGTGTATGTGTGTGTGTATGTGTATGTGTATGTGTGTGTGTGTGTGTGTGTGTGTGTGTGTGTGTGTGTGTGTGTGTGTGTGTGTGTGTGTGTGTGTGTGTGTGTGTGTGTGTGTGTGTGCGTGCGCGCGCGTGCGTGTGCGTGTGCGTGTGTGTGTGTGTACTCATCTAATTGTACTCACCTATTTGTGCTTGCGGGGGTTGAGCTTTTGCTCTTTGGTACTGTCAATCAACTGGTGTACAGATTCCTGAGCCTACTGGGCTCTGTCATATCTACATTTAAAACTGTATATGGCGTCAGCCTCCACCACATCACTGCCTAATGTATTCCATCTGTTAACTACTCGGACACTGAAAAAATAATTTATAATATGTTTGTGGCTCGTTTGGGTACTAAGTTTCCGCCCGTGTGCCCTTGTTCGCGTACCACCCGTATTAAACAGTTTGTCTTTGTCCACTCTCTCCATTCTCCTGAGGATTTTGGTGGCGGTGATCAAGTCTCCCCTTACTCTCCAGTCTTCAAGGGATGTGAGGTTTAGCTCCCGTAGCCTTTCCTGGTAGCCAGAGCGAGGGGACACAGGGACAAGAGAGGGACCAGAGCGAGGGGACACAGGAACAAGAGAGGGACCAGAGCGAGGGGACACAGGAACAAGAGAGGGACCAGAGCGAGGGGACACAGGAACAAGAGAGGGACCAGAGCGAGGGGACACAGGAACAAGAGAGGGACCAGAGCGAGGGGACACAGGAACAAGAGAGGGACCAGAAGGGACACAGGGACACTAAGAGAGACCAGTGCGAGGGGACACAGGAACAAGAGAGGGACCAGAGCGAGGGGACACAGGAACAAGAGAGGGACCAGAAGGGACACAGGGACACTAAGAGAGACCAGAGCGAGGGGACACAGGAACAAGAGAGGGACCAGAGGGAACACAGGGACACTAAGAGGGACCAGAGCGAGGGGACACAGGAACAAGAGAGGGACCAGAGGGAACACAGGGGGACACTAAGAGGGACCAGAGCGAGGGGAACACAGGAACAAGAGAGGGGACCAGAGGGAAACACAGGGACACTAAGAGGGACCAGAGCGAGGGGACACAGGAACAAGAGAGGGACCAGAGGGAACACAGGGACACTAAGAGGGACCAGAGCGAGGGGACACAGGAACAAGAGAGGGACCAGAAGGGACACAGGGACACTAAGAGGGACCAGAGCGAGGGGACACAGGAACAAGAGAGGGACCAGAAGGGACACAGGGACACTAAGAGGGACCATAGCGAGGGGACATAGGAACAAGAGAGGGACCAGAAGGGACACAGGGACACTAAGAGGGACCAGAGCGAGGGGACACAGGAACAAGAGAGGGACCAGAAGGGACACAGGGACACTAAGAGGGACCAGAGCGAGGGGACACAGGAACAAGAGAGGGACCAGAGAGGACACAGGGACACTAAGAGGGACCAGAGCGAGGGGACATAGGAACAAGAGAGGGACCAGAAGGGACACAGGGACACTAAGAGGGACCAGAGCGAGGGACACAGGAACAAGAGAGGGACCAGAAGGGACACAGGGACACTAAGAGGGACCAGAGCGA